CTTCTTGACCTGTCATCTACACTAGAGTCTTCATTGTATCGTTTGATGGTACGATAAACGAAACTTTTGGTTATATTAAAATTTTTCAGTATGTCAAATATTTGTCATCCGCCGTGACGTCACACTGTCATGTTCAATCAAAACGCGGCTTGCCTTTCCCGCACGCGGCCACATGGCCGATTTTGATTTCAAACAAAGACTGAATAATGCGGAGTCCAGTGTGGGTGCTCTATGGGCTACAGATATTATTTTAATAGGCACGTATCTGGTACTTTTATGCGCGGACACGGTCTGGGTTCGATAGTTCTGTGTTACTAACTAACAGTGTTTGCGCTTTTTAGTGTTTTACGTAGTTTAGCGTTATACGCTTATTGTAAGTACGGACTATTCGTTGTTTGTGTACCTCGAGCATTGGTTGATGGTTTGATTTGAAAAAGGTTATTTTAACAAGAAATTGTGACTATCTATCTCCAATTATAAACAGAGCTCATTTCCCGCTCGAATTTAAGCGGCCGTCAGTAGACCTTACAAAAGACCACAGTAAAATTACACTACCCTTTGGTGGTATTATGGTGAATAAGGTTTCGGGGCTCCATGGGTTAGGTTATTGTGTCAGGATAGGCAACCGCTCTAGTGGTATTTTGAAGTGAAACTTCTTTACGCACGCTTGACTTAGGGGTAAACGTGCGAATGTGTTACGGTTACGCGTTACGATTAGTGTAATCGGTAAACAATGAACAATACCCGTCACAAAATACATGAATCTAGTGCCAGCTTACATGTTTACTTGATGTTAATTATTGAAATATGTTTTTAAGTGAAACTTCTTTAGGCACGCTTGTCTTGAGGGGTGAACTGGCGAATGTGTGACGATTTTTGCGTTACGCGCGTAACGCACCGGTGACTCATCGATAAACAATGAACAATACCCGTCACAAAATACATGAATCTAGTGCTGGATGGGTGATAACGGACCCAGTGCGGGTAGGTGGATGATAACTGACCTAGCGAGGATTGGTGGGTGATAACGGACACAGTGCGGAATGGTGGGTGACAATGGACCCAATGCGGATTGGTGGGTGATTACGAACCCAGTGCGGATTGATGGGTGATAATGGACCCAGTGCAGATGCGTGGATTATAACGGACCCAGCGCGCATTGGTGAGTGAAAACGAACCCAGCGCGGATTAGTGGGTGAAAATGGACCCACTGCGGATTGGTGGGTGATAATGGATTCAGCGTGGATTGGTGGGTGATAACGGACCCAGCGCGGATTGGTGGGTGATAACGGATTGGTGTTTTTTTTTCTATCAACAAATCTTCAGGTTAAGTTAATGATTTTCAGATCATTGGAGGCAAAAAAGGTTCACTTCGGTCGTGTGGTCATAAGCACACTGTTTTTTTTTACTTACACGACGTAATTTATAAATAATCAATAACAATTTAGTATTTTGCTATTAATTCTACGCCATTGAAAAAAAATAACATTCTACGGGTATGTTAATTTTTTTCTATCAACAAATCTTCAGGTCAAGTTTATGATTTTCAAGTCATTGGAGCTAAAGAAGTTTCACTTCAGTCGTGTGCTCATAAGCACATTCGCTTTTTTTTGGTATCCCAAGCGTCTATAGGTAAGGTGGCTGCTTACCGTCAGTCGAATAATATGCTTGTTTTCCATCTTTATAATATCGAAAAAAAAAATTGACGTCGCTTCACTATAATTTCAAGCAGAATGATCAAAGGGCTGGGCACAAAAAAAAGGTGTAAGCAATAACGGAAGATAAGATAAGTACGCCGGGCAATCATAAGTTAGAGCGGCAGATTTGGGTGATTTGGGGGCAAAAACGAGGCTACATCGCTCGTTCAGCGTTATGGCCCAACTTCTAACGAGCGGCTATAAACTGAATATTTACTCGTCTCACCTTTGGGGGCAAGTCGGGCAAGAGCGATTTGGACTTGTGCTGTGGTAGTTCGGTAGATTTCTTAGCATTTATTTTAAGGTAGCTGTTCCCACGACTTTGTTAGCGTTGATGTCGGAATATAACAAAGTGTTATAGGTAGGTGGCGGAAAAATATAGTTTTTCCTTATGTCCAAAAGGACCGCTTAGTTTTTATAAAAGCGTTGTTTAACATATGTAAAATTAATATTTTTTGTTTTTAGATTTTAAATTAATTCGGTGTATTCAGTGACGAAGAATTTTAAATTTAACTTATTATTTGAAATTCCCAACAATTTCCAGTTGGTCATGAACTTTCAGTATCTGAGATTCAAAGATCTAATACTGATTGACCGAATTAAAGTATCTGCTCTTCGCTTTGAAGCTTCCAAGAAGCTTTAAATGTTATGGAAAGTTATATTTTTAGCTTGCTTTCAAAGAACTGGTTTTTTGCCTGTAAGGTGAATATAAAATACATCACCAATTTAACCCTTAAATTTTACCTTTTGAGATAATCAATCTAATACTTTTTAATATGTACCTATATCGAAATTCGAAAAACAAAATCGCGTAACCTGCGCAGACGAAGGACTTCCTCCACGGATTTTCTTGTCCGCCAAAATAGTTCGCTTACAATTTGTTTCGACTTACGCACACCAGGAATTAAAAAACCCGCGTACAAAAAAAATCCCCGAGCAACCGAATCCCCAGCAACCAAGGAGACCGAGTGACAGGGCAGTAACAAAGTACGCGAGAGGCCCAATAAAAAATGGAACTCATGTGACTAGGCGCAGCAGACAGCGGCACACAGCGAAATTCAGTCCGCGTTGCGCGCTTTGTTCTGATTTAAGGAGATGGACCTAATATTCTCCTTTAAAACATCTTCTCTTTTTCTTCATGTTCATCATTTTTTTTCATCATCAGCCTATTAATGTCCCCACTGCTGAGGCATAGACCTTCCCTATGGATGGAATAGGGAGATTGGGCCATGACCCACCACGCGGGCCCAGTGCGGATTGGCGGGTGCTAACGACTGCAGATGCAGCCGGGACCAACGGCGTAACGTGCCCTCCGAAGCACAGAGGAGCTCGAGATGATAAATTTTTGGTCACCCATCCAATGACTGACCACTGCGAAAACTGCTTAACTTCAACGATCGCAGGCGTACGCGCTAACCACTCGCGCCATCGAGCTCCTTAATTGGTTAATGAACATTTCTTCATGTTCATTACAACGTAATCTAGGAATATTTACTTCTACAGCGTGCGCTTCTCAAAATTGTCGGGCAATAAATATTCGCACACGGTGCACGCTGAGTCGGTGACAGTCAAGTCTTCGGAGGACATAATTTTCTCGATTCAGAGACTTTTGTCCGTGGAAGACAAAAGTGCCTAGTCTGCGGAGGACATTATAGTAATCGTGTAAAACAAAAGAGATCTCCAAATATCGAGTTATTTTGAAGAACAAGCTCGAAGCTTTTATCATAAAATGTAATGTTGGAAATCACCGATTATTACCTTACGACACGACGCGAATGGTGTCATTGTTTTTTTGTCCATTATCGCCATTTTTTTCTGATATTGTTGTAAAGATCTTTAGGACCTTTGATCTACTATGTATATAAATAGGATTTTCTTTAATACAAGGCGAAACAAATAATACCACCCCACCTGATGTTAAGTGTAAATGGAGTCCAGCTGCGAAGATATATGATGCGGCATAAGGTGTGCCGCTTCTCTCACCTTGCCGATAAGAACCCAATCCCGTACCCCGCGGAGCTCTGGAACCCTGCTCACCAGCCAAAACACAAAAGGTAGTGTTATTTTACTGAGGTTTTCTGTAAGCTGGATGTTGCTTCCCTAGACGGGAGCGCTAATTGGAGCAGAAAATCGGCTATGTCCTACCTCTCTTGGAGAGAAAAAGATAGTAGAAAAAGATACTATTATCAACAACAATGCAGCGTTGATTGCAATGCTGATAGGGCCCAGAAATCTACGTCATCGTCATCATCGAAGAATAGTTTTACCCTTATAAAAGTTAGTGAAAATTATTTTACTAAATGTTTTAAAGATGTCGCAATCGCAGCATTGTAATTTATGATTTTGCTTAAGAGAATAAATAAATAATTATTTCCAACACTCACACCAATTAGCCTAGCCCCAAAGTTAGCACTGTAGGCTTGTGTTATGGGATACTAGGGAAACGGATAGAATACATATACTGTACATATATAATTATATTTATATTGAAATATAGATAAAACATCTGGAGATGACTGGAGTATTTGTGCTTGTGTTCATCACACAAACATATGCCCCCACCGGGATTCAAACCCGGGACCTCTCGAGTCGGCAACACCATGAAACCCGGCGTACAAACCACTCGGCCACGGAGGTCATCCAATAATAATAATATAATAGCGGGCATACTCTTCAAATTAACATCCGATATATCGTTATGCTCGTCGAGCTGTGTCCTGACCAACAATATATCGATAGTTAGCATACTTTAATAGGCTTACAATTGTTTCTTTAACTTATTCGTATTTTATATTTAGAGACCTTGTAAAATTTGAAACACCAAATTATCAAATTCATTCAAATTATTTTTAGGTTAACTTGTTCAAAACAAAGTACAGACATCTTAGGTTGATATTTTTAAAGAAAGCTCATTTAACAATATACACTCAGAATGTTAGAATCAAATACTTTTCTATCGTAATTCCTATCAATTGACGTTCATTTGTTTTCATGTCAATTGATGTTATTTGTTTTCTTGTCAACTGATGTTCATTTGCTTTATCTCAACTGATGTTCATTTTTATAATTTGAAAGCATGTAACTGTATACTTGATGTTTAAATCTAAAGAAAATATAACTAGAAAAAATTCCACGCGGACCAGGCAGAGACTGACCAATTATGCTACCGCGGTCCGACAGTGCATTCGCCCGGATTGCGAAGGGTGCGGGTTCGAGTCCCGTCTGATGTTCATTTGTTTCCATGTCAACTGAAGTTAATTTGTTTTAATGGCAACTGATTTTCATTTGTTTCGTTGTCCTCAGGCGCAGCGAACACGCTGAAGTCTTTACAAATCCACGCGCCCCGAGCGGTTCTCACGGGCAAGAGCGCCGAGCTGGTCTGCACGTACGAGCTGGAGGGCGCCCAGCTGTACTCCATACGGTGGTACCGGAACATGATGGAGTTCTACAGATACGTGCCCAAGGAATCACCCGCGACAAAGGTCTTCCCAGTCGCGGAAATCAAAGTTGACGTGAGTTTCTTTTACAAAGCTGAGAAAACCGCTTGACCTTACCATGTGTAAAGAGTCCAGTAATTGAGACTTTCGGTTTGTTAGCAATCACAGTTCTGTGTGTGAAAATTTAAAAATGCTGAGTTAAATTACATCTCGATAAGTTTTGCGCTGTTTTTCAGATTCTCTGGCAAATGTTTTGCTCCTTTGCATATCATGTTAAAACTTCGTGGTTTTGCCGAACATCTAGAATCTTTGTTGCGCATTTACCCATCTGCTAGAAAACATTCTTATATCTTTGCGGACCCTCTAGAAACGTTCTCGGACCTTTGCCAGCCCTCTAGAAATACTGCATCTAGAAATTTACTGATCGTCTAGAATTTTTGTCGTGCCTTTGCTGAAACTCTAGAAACTTTTTGCGTTTCTTTGCGGAACCTCTAAAAATGCTGAAGTCACTACACATCCACGCGCTCCGAGTGGTCCTCACGGGCAAGAGTCAACTGGTCTGCACGTACACTATACGGTGGTACCGGTAAATAATAGAGTCTTACAGATACATGCTCAAGGACTGGCCCGCCACGAAGTTCGCCTCGGTGGCGGGTAACAATGTCGACGTGAGTTCCTATGGTTTTTTAAAGAGCTGAACAAATTGTCTGGCCTCCTCATCTGGTTTTAAAAGTGTGAAGAATCCAATTGGGAAGACAAAATAGAGTTGTATTGCTGATTTTCAAGAATTTTTCCACTACTTTTTACAATATTCTAGAAATTGAGAGTAGCAGGCTTGAGTTGTAAACAAGCTGGCAGCTTCGCACACCTTTCACCCGTAAGTAGCACTGTTAAGGCTCTTATTTGAATGAACCGCACCACAGCCTTCGTATTTCGGTACTTTCGCTGATGCGGAATATTTTTTTGAATGCAAAATCAGTGATATCAAATTAGAAATGTATTTTTTCTTTATAAACTCTCCTGCATAAGAATTCATCGGCTTTCGCGGAGAGCCATTTTGTAAGTAACAACGAAAACACCACAATTGTAATGCAAATTTGAGATAGGCCCGAATTCATGTCCTGTATCACCGACAATAAGTCAAAAAAGGCGACTTAAAAAATTTACCATTGTTTTACAACAAAATTGTTGTTGTAATAAGATAAGGAGAATTAGAACAAAATGCATGTAATTTTTATAAAATGTGTCAGTGACATAACACACATGGTGAAAAAGGACACTGGGTAAATCTGTTTCCAGTACGTTGGTGACAATTTTATAGGTAATGTAAAAAGCGTTGAATAGAATGCCGTTTGTAATACATGCAAGGTAAGTCACTTCCACTGTGTTATCTCAATCTGGACATTAACATTAACGTAATATAAAAATATGATAAATTTAACTGTATCACTTTTTTAAAGTTCCCTGAAAATATGGCGATCATCTTTATTCAATTGCGGGCCCATCACATGAATCCTTACCGGCTAATGCTCTTACACATTATGAGTCGGAAAATCCTTTTCACGTTACATGACGCCTCGAGCGTACATGCTTGGCAGTTCGGAAACTCAGTTTAGTGGTGGAGAGACACTATATTTGTACTGTAAGAATATAAGCTACGTAAAAAATCTTCCTAATGTTACTTTAACGATGCCACCTTCACATTAGCCTGGTTGTTGATGGTGGTTACAGTAAGGGCGTCCCACGGATTTATCACAAGGAGGAAAATTATATTAAATATTGAAGAAAGGATGTTTCAGTGAAAGGATTTTATTTTTAATAATAAGCAGAATTGCATTCACAGTTTTTAAAATGATGTCTTCTTTCAGTAAAATACCTTCACTATTTAATATATCGCTGTTTAATACAGTTTCCTTTCGTATGACAAACCCGTGGAACGCCCTGTATAGATAGAAAGTAAGAAATTTTCAACTTAGGGGTCTATAGTACAAAATATGTAGAACGCAATTTTGAGGTTGAGGTTTGTATGATACGGATTAAGATCTCCCAGAATCGGAATTGTATTTGTGTGTCTAAATTTTGTCATTTTCAATAAATAGGACTTGTCCGAAACCGGGGCGTAAGCTTCATTATTTTTGTGCTCTAAATTTTTCTTTCTTATCTGTCCAATATGGGTGAAAAACAAATATGTTGTGCAAACCAGAACGAACCAATTAAAAATAAAAGGAGCTCGTTGCACAGACCGCAAGAAATAATTTAATTATTGAAAAGAAAAAACAACCACTTAGTAAATGATTTAAAAATCTGCGATTCTTTATCAAAATACTAACTCGCAACCTGTAATAGCATTTTCAAAATAGAATCGCAAATTTTTCGTAGTGTCTTTTTTATTAGTTCCTTAATTCTTTTTTCAAAATGCCCTTCTATATCTCATCTTCTCGACCTCGCACTGGCAGGTCACTGCGTAATTCCCGCAGATTCCCGCCATCTAATTTCGCAGAAAGCCGCGATCGGATTGCCCCGTTCGTCAGGATTACTCTTGCGACGCTACAACGTCACTCGTTGAATTTCAATATGGTGTTTGGCTTCCTTGCTTACCGTCCCTTCGTACACCTTTATTGGTTTTTCTTTGACGTTATTATTCATTCTGAAGTACCTATCGTTTTTAAAGTCACGAAACGGATGACGTAAACAGATAATATTTTATGATGCATGTTTCCCAATTGGCGCTGCGCAAAATTATATAGCCGTCTTACCTGGCAGAACTTTTCCCTTAATCTTGCACTAAAAGATATAAATTTAAACAATTGTGGTAAGATAAATAGAAACAGATTCTCATTTAATTCATATACATAGGGTTTATTACTTCATATACAGGGCTCCGTTAGGTATCGGGGATTGGGCTCAGGACGGCATGGTGAGGATGACTAGAACGGCGCACCCGCCCCTTCATCATACGACCGCTGATGTGATCGGAAATGTGTGTTTATTGAATCGTGTCATTTTAAAAATCATTTTGTGATATTATCAATTGCATAATCGCGGCCTAGGTAGCCATTGCAGATGCCCTTTAATCTTTATCAACCAGTACATTGACAGAGGAGCTCGATGGCATAGGTGGTTAGCGCGTTCGGCTGCGATCATTGAAGTTAGGCAACTTTCGCAGTGGTCGGTCATTGGATGGGTGACCAAAAAATTCTATCTCGAGTTCCTCCGTGCTTCGGATTTATGCATTAAGCCGTTGTTCCCGGTTGCACCTGCAGTCGTTAGTACCCGCCAATCCGCACTGGACCCGCGTAGTGGGTCATGGCCCCATCTCCCTATTCCATCCATAGGGAAGGCCTGTGCCCCAGCAGTGGGGACATTAAGAGGCTGATGATGATGATGAATCAGTACATAGTGAATTAGATTTTTTAAGTCTGTTTATTAAAATGTATGGTGTTATATAAGAACAAACAAAATGGGCAGTCTCTTTAACCGGAGTGCGCTAACGCGCCGCAGCCCACCACCCACTCCCACACGTGAGATCGTGCCGCCTGCGCCAGCCTTACAGGAAGACCCTGCTCCAGAAGTTATCTCTACCGCTGAAGCTCAAGCCTGGATGAAAACCATTGAACTATGTCGCAATGAGGTGTGCGCTATTGCAACAGAAGGGAAGCTTAATTCGGACCAGAACATGAGAATTAATAATCTATGCCGTAAAGTGTCTCATGAGATGTCTCAAATGGTCGTGCAGTAGTGCAGTATCAGGAACTGTCTCCTTTGCTGATATACTTAAGAAAAATGTAGTCCAGCCCAAAACCATAAGCTTGGTTACTATCTATCCCACGGATAAGTTAAAGTCGAGCGAAGAAACCAAGTCTTGTCCAAGATAATTTACTGGACAAGGAGTAAATTATCTAAACTGAGCAGATGAAGTTGCACGTCAGGGATGTACGCAAGACGATAAACGATGATGTCATCATCAGCACTGAGACCAATGATGATATCGAGAAGCTTAAGCAGTCGACGCAACTTACTTCCTCTGGCCTCACTTTGAGCGACACATTTAAACGGAAGCCTGGAATTGTCCTTATGGAGTACCAGCAGTTATAAAAACTAAAACTTTAAAACGAAAAAACATAGGCAAATTTGACCACAATCCCGCCTGATGGAAAGCGATGATAAGGCCTAGGATGGTACACGCCTGCCTAGAAGATGCCTGTTCACTCTGGCCTTGAAGATGTCCAGATTATATTGGTCCGGGAAAACAGACCTCGGCAAGGAGTTCCACTTCCTAACCGTTCGCATAATGAAAGCGGAAGCAAATCGCTTTGTGCGAATGGGAGGAACTTCGACAAAATAAGGGTGAAAGCCCTCGCCGCGGCTGGTCGTCCGGTGGTGGAAAGGGCATTTAAGATATCATTTAAATGTAACATATAAATCTCATATCATCGCGTAGCTCTCACACTGCGTTTCATGTTGAGGTCCTCTCTCTACAAATTGCTATAATTATTATTAACGTTATAATATACCTACCTAAACTAAACAGTATTCCAATGAAATCAAAATGCTTTGAGTATGCTTGAATAATCAAAGGGTACTCTATTCGTATTGTGAGCGAAACTTCATTATTAGGCCCATACCTATGCATGCTACAGCTTAAGATTATAACACAAAATTGATAGTACAGAAGGTAATCTTCATACAAAGTGCGCTCGAGCAACGCACATATAGATACTGTTCATGGACGCGATATCTCGGATCAGGTGGGACCACTGCGAGCGAGAGTCTGTGAACATTTTTGTGCAAAAATGATACGAAAAAATAAATATTATACCTGTTCAGTTAAAATTCCACATTGATCGGTGAATTGTATTTTATATAATTTTAATAAATATTTTGGTTATTTCTGTTGATTTATTATTATAAACAGCGACAAACGGACATATTATGTCCGTTGTTTCTGTTTCATTCTCGACAGTAAATCAAACAACTAGATAATAGTGCCACTACCACCATAGTTTTGTTTTTGGATTAGCTAAAGTTGACAATCCTAACGCTACCGTTGAGTGTAGGAAAGGAAAGTGAAGTAC